ACACATCATGCAGCCCCACCGGTAGAATAGGAGGGTCCCAGTCGCTCCACACCCTCACCAGCATGTGTTGGTTTCTGGGGTGGGGGTGGGGGGTTGTTTTTGTTTTTAACTTTGCTAATAATGCTTGGGTAAGATGAGCTCTGGTAGCATAGTGGTTATGAATTGGGCTGTGAACATTAAGGTCAGCAGTTCGAAACTACCAGCTGCTCCGCGGGAGAAAGATGAGGCGTTCTGCTCCTGCAGAGATTTACAGCCTTGGAAACCCTGTGCAGGGTCTCTGTGAGTCGGAACCGACTCCACAGCACATAACAACAACAACAAAGATGATATCGCAATGCTGTTGGCTTTACATCTCTCATGGCTAATGACCTTGAGCATTTCTTCATGTTTGTCATTATTCAGGTCTTTGGTGAACTGTCTGTTCATGTCCTCTGCCCATTTTTTAGTTGGACTATTTGTCTTCTTATTGAGGTGTTGAAATATTCCATAAATATTAGACAGTACGCACTTGTCTGATAATGCTATTTTTTCCAATCTGTGGGCTCTCTTTTCACTCTTTTGGTAAAATCTTTTGATGCAAAGAAGTGTCTACATTTTAGGAGGTCCCAGTCATCTATTTCGCCATCTACTATTTCTGTATTTTCAGTTATGTGTGATAGTGTATTTATTCAGTGTATCAGAGCCTCTAAATTTGTCACTAATTTTACTTTTTTTGCAAATATCACTAATTTTTCATTGGTGACCTTTATAGGTCTTTAGTGTGGAGTGAGATACCAGTCTTGTTCCAGTTATGCCAGCACCATTTGTTGGTGTGTTTTGATTTGGGCTCTTTGTCACCGATGTACTGAGCCTACTGGATGAATTGACTCGTGGCGTCTCCATTGTGTGCCTTTTGCTGTCCGTACCAGCTTCTTTTGATGACTGGGTCTGGGAAGTGAGAGCTCTCCTACTTGGTCCTTCTTTAGTAATGCTTTCCTTATCCAAGGTCTCTCTCCTTTCTGTTGAAAGTTCGTGATTAGGTTTTCCATCTCTTTAATAAAGAATTTGTTGAGACCTGGATTGTGATTACATTATATCTATAGATTGCTCTGGAACAGCAACAACTGCAAATTGTTTCCCAGTTTTAAAAACTCTGTTGTAATTTGGGTGGAAGTTTACAGAGCAAAGTGGGTTTCCATTCAACAATCTAACCCTATACTGTTTTGTGGCATTGATTGCAACCCCCACAAGGTAACAGCAGTCTTCCCATGTCCCCCCTGGATTGGCCCTTTAACCTGATGTCTAAACCTCCTTTTGTGTCCTGTGATGGTATTTGAGGGTTCTTTCCATAAACCTCCTGAATGAATTTTTAAGTTAGCCTCATAGTCATGATAAGTTTGGCTTCTAGAATAAGTGAAAATTTTTAAAAACCTTCCAGTGCAAAAGGCCTTTAAACTCAACCCAAATGACGTCACAGTAAATGAAATTAAAAGCTCCGTGGTGCTGTCGTGGACTCAGCATCACGGTCAGCAGTTCAAGGCCACCAGACTCTCTGCAGGAGAAAGACGAGGCTGTCTGCCCTGTGAGGGTTAGTCTCAGGGTCCCTGTGTGGCAGGTCACCGTGAGTCAGAACTGACTTGATGGCAGTGAGTGTCGGCCAGCATTTGTTTCTATCTTGGATGCAGGGGTCCAGTGCCGATGACTTACCTGAGGACAGAATCTTTTGGAAGAAAGCTGGAGGGCAGACATGGGGGACAGAGCCAGGGGAATGGAACAGGGTCCAAGGCAGTCCTGCCGGGACTGTCTAGCACTTCCTGCAGATCCTGACAAGGGATCAGGGTCCGACTCGTTTCCAGGCCTCAAAACAAGGGGCACAGAGGCAGTCACATGCCGTGACCTGCAGCTTGCCGTACATGTGGTGCTCAGGATGCGTTCACCCTGTGAGCCCTGTGCCTCGGCCTCGTTTCCGCTGACCGGAAGCACTTTCGTCTGGTTTGAACCAGTGGGGCTTCGAAGGTCATTGCCTGTGGAGTTAGTTTCCGGGCCGCTCTGCATCATCTGGGCCAGGGGCACTTGGGGTTAGGGCAGTCTGGTTGTCATGGTAACAGAGCAAGGTGCACAGTCAACAGCTGGGTGTGGGGTCACTTGGGGCACGTCCTGCTTCTCCCAAGACTCTAGGGGACATCCTCAGGACATCCGAGAACCATTTGCTCCATGCCCCCCAGTTGGGCGTGTGATTCGAAGTGACCCCACTTCCAGCATGAAGCCTTAGGAATTGCTCCCCAAAAACACTCCCGCTGAGCTCCTGCTCAGACCCGTGGGTGCTGGGAACTTGCCCCGTCCAGAGCATCCCTGTGTGTCTTGCCAACTGCAGCCAGAACCACAGAGTCACACAGGGAGAAGGGCCCACGGAGCCTGGCTGGGCAGTGTCAGGACAGGACCTGGCTGGCACAGAGCAGGGTCCTGAGGCTGGGGTGGCTCACAAGTGCTATAGACTAGGAACTCGGCAGTCTCTGGGTGCACACATGGGTGGCAGCACTCGGCACCCCAAGCTGGGCACCATCCCCCAGGTCCACCCTGCAGGTGGACCTCTTGCCACGTGGCTGGCTGCGTGGTGCTCACGTGGTGCTCACGTGGTGGTGTTGGTACCTGGAGGGGAGATGGAAGACAGTGAGAAGGGTTAAGTCCTAGAAGGCAGGAGGGGCCGGAAAGCAGGGTTTGTAGAAGCAGCCTGGGGAGGAAGATAGTAACAAGCCGTGACATTGTGAGGATCACAGTCAATGTCCCGAAACAAAATGTGGTGAGTGTCTCAGTGCAATCCCAGCTCGCTCTGTCAACCCGGTGGGGAGACTGAGTCAGGCCACATCTGCAGTGGGGTCGGATAGATGGCCCCTGTCCAGGTGGTGTGTGTCCCTGACTCACTTCTCTGATTTGGTTCACATTTAGGATCCCGTCTCCCTGTCTCCTCTGCTCTCACGGGACAGCCATCATAAAGTGTCCCCCAGTGGTCAGCCAGCTCAGCCTCCACTGGTCCCATGGGTATTTGTAGCAGGACCTCAGTGACCGGTGCTTGGAGCTCTGGGGCCAGCTAGCTTTGACATCCCCTCCCCCACTGCTCTGAGTTCCTGGCATTGTGGGCCCTCCTACCCTACCTGTCATGTTCCATGCAGTGAGGGTGGTCTCCTGAGACACCCACCCCTCCTCAGTCTGCAGCCCGAGTGGCTAGACCTGAGGCTCCCTCAACCCCTTCAGAGAGCCTCCACGAGCCAGTCTCTATACCTACTAGGCCTTGAGGGACAAGGCATGCCTCTAGGCCCTGCCTCCCCCAGGCCCAGCTCCACTGCAGACACTCACAGGTGGACAATTCCAAGGCAAGAATCCATCTTCAGTTTGTTTGCATTTGGATGCATCGGTCCCTTGAGTGCCCATACGTGGGAGCAGGGATAAGCCTTGGGGAGGGTCTGCTGGAGGTACCGAACCGCCATCCAGGTGACAGGAACCTCATGTCTCTGAAGGTTCCAGAAAAAGCACCTCCCCGCGTCAGCCGAGTCACTTAGAGAACAATTAAGCACGGCTCTCCCGGAGCCATCAAAGTGACAGCTGCCTTCAGGTGATGCGCAGGGAGCCCATTAGCCTCGAGGCTGAGGGGGCGGATGGGGGGGGACCGCTGTGTCCCCCGAGTCCTGTCACTCAGCGCCACACAGCTGGCTCCGCAGCCCTCATCCCACGGGCTCCCAACGGCCCCAGGGAGCACTCACAGGCTTTTAAAAGTGTTTTTTTTCTCTTCCTGAATCATTACAAGTTATATTTTCCTGTAAAAAGTTACACAGTGGTTCATCCCACTCCGCTTCTGCGCAGCTGGTGCCGGGCTGGGGCATGGGCATCTCCAGGGCCCCTGTCTGCAAACACCCGCTCATAATCAGGGTCCCTTCCTAGCACCCACTCACCTGCCAGCTGGTGTCTTACTTTCTTCTTTGGGCAGCACGTGGGCTCCAAGGTGTCCGCTCAGCTAGGGCCCTCCACATTGTTACCTTAGCCCCTGCTCACCTTGGAGATGATTCACCTCAGAATTCACATGGTAAAACAGGCCTGCCTTCTCAACCTCCTGGGCCTGTCTGCGCTGCTATCAGCCCACGGACTGCCTGGTTCTCTCAGTCCACTGTGACAGAAACACCACAGTGCAGGCTTCAGGGGAAGGTCCTTGTCCCCTTTCAGGGTCTGTGGGACCGCTGTTCCTTGGAGAGCTCCAGGTGTCCTGGCAGGGGGCCCAGCCCCAGAGGAGCAACTCCACTCCTGGCTCTTGTTTTGTGATGGATGGTAGGCCCCAGTGTGTCTACGGGCTTCTCTCTCCTCATATTTCTTATAAGATAAAGGGTTGTGATGGGATTTGGGGTATTGTGGTGGTCAGGGCCTCGGGCACAGCTCTGGAGCATGGCCAAGTCCAGGCACAGAAATGAGCAGGTGAGGCCATGGTGCCCACTTGGAGGCCCCGGATAGTGACACATCACCCCAGGTTCCCTAACTCATCACCATCACCTGTACACCCAGCAGGGTGACAAGAGCCTGAAGCAGGAGGTCTGGATGGAGCTCAGGGAAACCCACTGTCTCCTTCAGTGCCCCCGGCCCCCACACAGTCCTGCGCCCCTAACGGTGGTTAGGTGCAGATGGGACTCTGATGCTCTGGAGGGTCTCCACTGGCTGATTTTCAGTAGAGTTCTAGTTCTTTCTTCCTGATCCCTCGTCGTCTGGAAGTACCACTGAGACCTATCCACCAGACCCCCAGGGGCAGACGAGTGGTAGATATGCATGAGAAATATCTGCCAGGAATCGAACCCTGGTCTCTCCCGCATGGGAGGGGTGTGTTCCCCACGGAGCCACCACCGCCGTCCTACCGAGATGCATGTAAGCTATAGACATGAAGTGGTTTACAGGGGCGCTCTCAGCCAAGTTGGGTGAAATGATTTCTGAGTGAAATACCAGGGTGCCCTTTCTCATCCGCGTTTCTTTCGTACCCGGGTTAGGATGGGAGTCCCAACTACTGGAGACGGGATTCCTGGGGATCTTCCTGTGCCCTGTGTGGACGCTGTCCCGCCTACCCAGACACACCCCCACATCCCACATCGTCATCTGGGGATTCCGCTGGCTCATTTTCAGAATCATGCTCGGAGCAGTAAGTAGAACGTGCATGTGTCTCATCTGCCTCCTTCCTTCGGGGAGACTCTGTTCCACCTCTTCTAGTCTTTCTCCTTTTTCCTTTCAGTGTAGGAGAGTTGCGTTGACCCCTGTCTTCAAGCTTGTGGGCTTTCTCTCCGGCCAACCTCATCTCTGATGAGCCTATCAAAGACTCCGCTCATCTCTGATGAGCCTATCAAAGACTCC